CCTAGTGCTCAGGCAAGAACAGACTAGGCAGGCATGCATGTTATCTCTTGTTTTCTGGGAAGGTGGTTTATTGCACAATGCAGCCCAGCCTACATGCAGAGATGAATGTGTGTCTGGGGCGCCATGACTGAGGTTTCTTTCAAGCAATTTTGCTCAAAAAACTTGTTACAAAGGGACTGACCAAAACGGGAGCTACCCAGGGAGGATTGTCTTCTCATAGGTGAGATGAGTGGCAAAGTCTTTTTGGATGCATCTACACGTGCGCTTTACTGTGGAGTAGAGCAATTAGCTCCTCAGTAAAGTGTCATGATCTACGCTTATGCTGATATTAGGGTGCAGTAAATTAATTCTGCCATGCAATGGTACTGTTGGGGACAGTACTATCTTATGGCCGACTCATTAAGTGTGATTGAATGCATGTGTAGACCATAACTGTCTGGGTGCAAATTGTGCCTGGTCATCCCAGCCAGCTGGGACCTGACTCCCCTCTGCCAGCCCCTCTGCCACTTGACAACGCCATCTGGAGCCTGGGGCTGATCCCCCTTGCCAGCCTGGGGTTGCTCCACCCTGGCTCAAAGTGCTGCTGTCTCAGCTGGCAAGGGCTGAAACTGCTCTGGAGTTTATTGCATTGCATTAATTTCACATGTAGATGCACCCTTTGCTTGTGAAAGCTGATCCCTTTAAGAGACTGATTCTGCACTCCCACCAGGAGTGAATCTAGCAAAGCCAGTATAAAACTGGAGTAGAACCAGGCCCAGGACTCCCAGGGTAGGTCTGTGCCCTGGCAGCCAGGAGCTCAGTCACACCACTGAAGAAAAAAGCCACACCCAGCCACTCCCACTCCACATACATCAGCCTCAGAAGTGAGGTGATACCCCTGGGAGGCACCTTGGGCAGCTGTTCTTGGGGCAGCCCTCAAGGCAACTTCACCACCTCATTTCCGGAGCTTATGTGAATACGAGTGGTTGATCAGGGCTAATTTCCTTAGCAGAGTAATTGGGCCATGTTGACTTACTCAGACTGGGGCAGATCTTCAGATGATATTAGCTGCACCATCAGCTGAACCATTCAGATCTACAGCAATGGGGTGGGGGTGGGGGCAGGGAGGCTATAGACATGCTGCTAGCCACAGTTCTTACAGCAGTGTTCAACCTCAGATTTACAAGCCGTCAACAATGATGCATGTATGAACCTCATGGCTAAATAGTAAATAGTGCCTGAGCATGGTTTTGTCCTGATTTATGGTGGGGTTTTTGAGTAGTGTATATAGAGGGGATTGCCTAGTAGCTCAAAATGAATTCTTACTCTTGCATATTGTGTAGGGGATGTGGGTGGGTATGTGTGTGTGTGGGGAGGAGGTATGTGGGAGTGTGTGAGGAGGTGTGTAGGTGTGCAAGTGTGGGGAGCTGCTAATGTGCTAGGTCCTGAGAGCTGGCCAGGGGTAGTTGGCATGTGCAGCAGAGCTTAACCAGGTGGTGCAGTGTAGGTGCAGGTGCAGTCTGCCCCCTCCCTCCCCTATCTGGCCAGCAGCTGCCCCTGCAGCACTCTACAGGGGGTTGAGCCCTGCCCACTCCCACCCAGGGCAACCTGTGCCACACTCTTGCCCACACCCACCAGACCATCTTGCCCCGGCCTGTGCAGTTTCCCAATGTGGCTGCTCCCAGTGTGGCTCCAGCTGCCCAGGTCATGCTTAGCTCCCCTGGCCTCCAGTGGCTCTTCCTCTTCCTGCCCTTGCTGCACCACCCTAGGTGTGGGGGGAAGCTGCGGCCAAGCAGCTCCTGCCTCAGCATGTGAGGCTCCAGCTCCCAGCTGCCTTCTACCCAGTTGGCCACCCACAGGTGTCTCCTCATCACTCTGGGCAGGTGGAGTGGGTGGAAGGCAGCTGGGAGCTGCAGCCCTGCACACTGGGGCAGGAGTTGCCCAGTTGCAGCTCCCCCCACATCCACAGTGGTGCAGCAGATACAGGATGAGGAGGAGCTGCTGAAGACCAGGGGAGCCAAGCAGCACCAGGAGCAGCCCCACCAGGAAGCTGTGTGCACTGGCTGGGGCTAGGGCCAGTGCATGCAGGCACAGCACGGGCTGCCCCAGGCAGGAGCAGGCAGGGCTCAGCCCCCTGTGGAGTGCTGCAGGGGCAGCCACAGGCTAGATCCAGTCATTAGCAAGTTACTGCTCACAGCCTGGATCCAATCAGGTGAGCTGGATCCAGCCCACGGGCTGCTTTTTTCCCACCCCTGCCTTGGACATAATCTGCAGACCACAGGTTGAAAACCACTGGTATAAGGCAAATTGCGGTCAGGCAGGGTATAATGTTGGTTTGATGAGCCACGAGCCATTGCCAGAAAAGTGTTTGTGAAGAGTGCTTCCAAACAGCAGCCTAACAATTGGTGGGTGAATGGGGCACAAACCCCAGGGGCAGCATAAAAGGATGGAGACGGTTCCAGAATGGAGCTAAGGGAAGCTTCACCCTCCTGTCCTTGCACCCTACACTGTCCCTGGAGCAGTTCCAGATCCTGCAGCAAGCAGGGCAGAGGAGCTGTGGCACATGTCCAGTAGTTCTATGCCCTGGAGGTCAGCAGCAGATGGTGCAGTGATTAGAGGTCCGCTGCTGCTGGGAAGATGTCACCTTTTTTGTTGCTGAAAACCAGTGGGTTTTTAGGCCACTTGACACACATCAGTAGAAAACAAAGGCAGGTGACATCTTTCCCAGCAGCAGTGAAACTCCAGTCACTGCACCATCTGCTGCTGACCACCAGGGCACAGTACTACTGGCCAGTTACCTCTCTGCTTCAGTGTGTTTCTCTCTGGGCTGTAGGGTAGCACTAATGCCCCACATGCTGTATGTACACTGGAGGTACCTTACTCTAGTAGTTAACCCACAATATTGCAGGCCAGGAGACCTGGATTCCAAGTTCATTTGTGACTCAACAGAATAATCATAGACAAGTCAGTGCAGTCCTCTGCCGTGCTTTCCCTGCCTGTGAAATGGTGATAGGTATACAAGCCTTGTCCAGCTATTATGAAGCTGACTTGGTATTTGAGATCTTCCAGTGGATGGTGCTATTGATGATCTTGTGTCCTGCAAAGACAGGGGAGTTAAAGAGGCACTCCCGTCCCCAATTTCAGCTTGCAGTTTCCTTCCAGAGATATGAAATGCCAGGTGTGTGGGATCCACGCTCCTCTGGCTGGTGCTACAGTCAGCCTGCCGAACTTGAGGAGATGC